CACACACACACACACACACACACACACACACACACACACACACACACCTTTAGACAAAATATTATAGGCAACCAGGCTATAACTCTATGCAAAGCTATTCTAGCATATTTACACTGCTTTATTGATCTTACATACAGGCCTGCTGTTGGCCATCCAGGCACTTTGAAATAGTGGCAAAAAACAAACAAACCTACTGATAGTGTTCAATCCAATATTTAAAAGGACTGATATCTGTTGAAAATGCGTGATGAGACATCCCTGATAATGAGGTTAACATAACACCACAGATGGGGGAATGACAGAACCACTTATTCTCCCTCACTATGCATAGACCTGCATCGGATGCTTCTTCTATTACTCAACGTATGCAGTAACTGAACACATGCTTAAAACAAATAATTTACCAAATCTCCTGAGAGCCGGGTCAATGCTGTTGGGTCTGTTGGTGGCAGCCATGACGATCACATGAGCTCTTTGTTTCAGTCCGTCCATCAGAGTCAGCAGCTGGGAAACAATGCGCCTCTCCACTTCTCCGTGAGTCTAAAAACAACAACACACAGTGTTGCTAGACAATTCACATTTTAAAACCTTATCTAGACGTTAGTGTCTTAACAAGTGATCAGGATGAGTGCGACATCACAAAAAAACCAAACTAGATTTCTAGGATTACTGCTCAAAGTGAAATACCAAAACACAAAAATAAATAAAACATAAAAAGATTTTTGGTTCTATGGTCTGGAGAATGATAGCCATCTTCATTTATTAAAAAAAAAAACTCTTAAATCATGAAGAGACACAGTACTGTTATTCAGATATCCATTTAGTGTTCTTTGTTCCTGCTCACCTTCTCTCTCTTCGGAGCGATTGCATCTAGCTCATCAATAAAGATGATGGCCGGAGCATTCTTCTCTGCTTCCTCGAAGGCCTTTCTCAGGTTACTCTCGCTCTCTCCGGCCAGCTTACTCATGATCTCAGGACCTAAAGCAGAAAGACAAACATTTTCATTTCAGAGGAAACCGTGACCTCACATACCATCTTAAAATAATATGTACTGTATGAATCCCAAGATAAAAACACTACAAACTAAACACTCCAGTAATAAATGAACACACTTTAGCTAGTCCAAGACACATGCATACAGTGCATGCATGGAAAACTGAGTATTGACTATACAGTATAATTTTCCTAACTGAACTTGTATTTTAGGAGACGACACTCCTTGCAGCTAGCTAATAAGAGGTCTTCTTTTGTAAAGCTCAGCTGTTTTCAGATTGTTCTGAGGAGACGGGAGTAATTATTTAAAATAATGCAAAATTTGAGTTTTGTTGCTTATAGTATAGCCAAGCAACCACTGATAAACACTTTTTTGCTTTGTTGGGATAAGTATTTATCAGAATCTAAACCAAAAGCAACT